CGACACGGAAAGATACAGAGAGCGGGAGAGCGAGCGCGTGCTTTTGTGGTAAAGCTTTTGTCATGCACTCAGCCGCTGTCTCTCTTTTTATCTATCGCTCTCTCGCACAAGCTCAAAAGTGTGCCGTGACTGCATCTCCCTCACACCCTCACACGAGTATCTCTCTCTCCCTCATGGCAGTTGCAGCTTGCATTGGGCGTTAATGTTCAAGGTCTCGTCTCGGTATGTATTTCTCACTATGTACCTCTGTGTGTGGGTTTCTCTCTCTCTTTTCCTCTCTCTATGTGCATGTCACAGTTTTTATTTTGTGCCGAGAGAGCCACCCAATTATGCGAAATTATCGATCAAATTTTTCTCTAAGGTCAACCTTAAATTGAAAATTCAGTTTTCCACGACGATTATTTTGTTTGAGGCCACAACAGCCAACAGCTGGGCTATCGCAATTGTTAATCTTGTCATGCATGGCCCAAAGCCTTTCGTGTGGCGATTAGGCTACCCTCTCCCCCGTTACTATTATTATTTCGATACTAATTTAATCTGACACATTTGTGTGTTAAATGATTTAAAGCGAGCTAAGGAGCGATAAAATTAAAGTATATTTCTTGGGGTGGCGGTTAAAGATGTGAGAGGATTTTAAGGGAGTATGCAAAGAATTTCGTTTGGGGATGCTTTCTGCAGCTGTACTTGTAATTAGAGAATTTTTGCGATAGTTCGAAATGTTCTTTATTTTAGACCTCTCTGCTTTGAGAATTTCTCCTAAATTTTCCAATTATTTCCTCTATTCTTCTTGCTCTTCCCTGAACTATTGATTCCATCTTTAATCCATAAAATAAATTGGCTATTGTTCTCTCACATTTCTTAGAATAGCAACTAGCTTTAATCCCAAGTTAACTTAACTGTTAGCTGGAACTTGATTGAAAAGCAATTGCGTAAGTTATACGTTTTTTTTTACGTTGTTTTATTGAGTTTGATGGCATTTTATACGCGAACATCGTACGTATTTCATCATAGACCTGTCATGAGGTCATCCGGGTTGGACAGCCACGTCGAGCAAAATGCACACCAGTCGTTAGGAATGGGATTGGCTATAAGTACACCCTGTATGATAATTGTTTGATTTTTTCATCTCACTTTAGCAGAGTCGGGAAAGTCATTGCATTGACAAAAACCTGCAGCGATTGCATAACGTGAAAAAGAAAATGCACACAATGTATACTCGCACTCGTAGATGTAGAGAGAGGGACAAAGAAGAAACGTGCTCGAGCAGAAAATCAATTTCGTTTTCCTTGACCTCATGGGGCCCAGTCCCCAGACCCCAGTCCGCCAAGAAGCACATCCAAAAAAGCACCAACCAACCCGAGGCAGGGAAAGAGACAGAGCGATGTGGGGCAGCCACTAGGAGAGTGTCGACAAAGGATAATTGACGGTCATTTGAAATGCAAAGTGACAAAAGTGGCTGCAACAAATGTCGAAATAATGTCACCAGCATGCCTTTGCCTTTGCCATTGCATTTGCCTTGCATTTGCCATTGCATTTTCCTTTGCCACAGCCAGAACCCACTCGTAGATGGCCAATTCACACCCGTGGCACCCACCACCGCATACCCCAAATCCCCTTAACTCCCTCCTCAATCCATACATTGTCAGTGAGCCAAAAAGGCAAAGCGAAACGAAAATAGAAAATGCCAAACCAAATGGTTTTCATTTTGCAGCAGTTGCAGCCACGCCACGCGATTGGGAGAAAACCAAAGCAGCGAAAAAAACAGCAGCGGGGGTCGGCAAGAGAAGAGAGAGGGAAATAAATATAAATAACAAACCAAATCAATTTGCAGCATGAAAATCTTTTTAATTGTTTCTGCCAGAGATTTCGCTGCTTTGAAAATTTCACTCATTACTACGGACGGTTTGCTTTTGGTGTGTGTGGCATAATTAATGTTTTCAGGCGTTTTCAGAGCGTTGCAGGCCCCCCCCCCCCTGATGGTTGTGTGTGGAGAGAGAGAGGTGTGGTGTGGAAAAGCAGTAGAAATCAAATCAAATTGCAGTCAAATCTAATTCAAATTCGAAACAAAACCAAACGAAATATTATAAATGGGCAACAAGAAGATGCTGAATAGAATCATATGCAATTTTTGTTTTCTCACTGATTATTTTTCTTAAACGATGCTTAAAAAACTCTTAAGATTATTTTACTCAAATTCCAATTTATCTTTGTGTTTTTTTTTACCCTTCTTTGGTTTTTTTTAAGGAGGGGTTTAAATGAATCAAACTGAAGCTTATGGCTAAGGAAATTTCATTTTAGTATGGCGAAATTAAGTTTTGTAACTAACACAAAGTAAAACAAATGAAAACTGTTGATAAATTGGACTTGCGAAACAAAATTGTATTTTAAAATAAAATCAACGAAATATTCAACTGTGGCATCACTCACCCTGTCAAATGTTCTCGATGCTGTTGCCGTTGTTGTTCTTTCTGTTGTTGCATTGTTGCAGAACGGCCACTGGGTATACCACCAGCTGTGTTCACTTGCTTGCACCATATTCAAAGCGAGCACAGGGTGGTATCCCAGCGGCAGTTGCACAGAGACGGAAAAGCTTTCAGCTAAAAGCTTAGCGCGGACACAAACTCGTCTCTCTCGATGTGGTTGCTGTCCTTGCTGTTTCTTGTTCTTTCGGTGGCACTTTCCTATACTATGCATAGAATATTTGTATATTATTCATGCATTTCCAATATATCTTACAAATGCAATTGCAAATGGGGCACAAGTAAGTAACTCTTTAATTTCACAATTTGTAGTTCATATTGCACAACATTTTGAAATTAAAACTTGGGACTCTGAGCACAGTTAAGGAATGCTGTAATTAATGCTGCATTTAATCGGTAAGCACCGATTGAGTTTTATATTATTTTTTTGGGCAAATTTCAATTGCCATTTTGGCATCGGTTTTCGTCCACTGTTTCGTCCGTTTCTGACCTATTTCATGCGCTCGGCTCCAACAGCTGCCAACCGACTTGTGGGTTGTTTTATATACTTATACCAATCCATACGAACATGTACTATATATACAAATGTATATGTGTGCTTTTTCTTGTGTACGAGCTGCCTACGCAGTTTGCTGCACGGGCGTGGAAAGGTCAAGGCTCAGAATACCAAACAATCCAGGAAATATGGAAGTGTTGCATATGTATTCCAAAAAAAGGAGAGAGACTGCAAGGGGCTCTTTCTCTCTGTCTATTTCTTAGTGTGAAAAGAGAGTGAGTGTGTGTGTGTGTGAGGGTGACTTTTCCTGTAAAGTTCAGCTGCTTAATAATTCAGTTTTAATTGCCATATGCTTGCCACCAAAACGTGCGTCACACGGATTTTATATTCACACTCCCCCACCAGCGCTCCTGCCCCTGGGTGTGGGGGCAGGCACTGCTTGTGATGTTTATTTTCAGGCTTTGCTAATCAATTTTCCACACCTGATTCAGGTATTTAGGCGACGCGCCTTTAAAATGAACTTGGACACGGCTGAACACTCACTTGAACAAAGGGCGCACTGAACGCATACTTAATCTCGGAACTATGGCTGACCTCATCGGAGGCATGCCCGTCACTGAATGGAAGGCCCGTTCCCGTGCGCCAGCAAGGAAGCCGCCACTCGGCGGCCAGCATCCGGAAGCTGCAGCGTGCCTGTGAAAGTTGTAGGCGGGGCGTGGGCTCGCACAGGTGTATACTGGTATCCCGAAAATATGCAACAGTATTCGACAGTCGGCAGTGGCAGTGGCAGCAGCAGTTGGAGGCCAAGAGCAGCAAAAAGCAAACAGTTGGCTGCCTGCGACAGCGATGCCAACGCCGACGCCGACGCCGACGCTGACAGCAGAGCAACGCGGTGTCGTTAAGTCGCCCACGCAAAAGCTATGCCTGAGGAAAAGCTCTGGAGAACTGTGTCTCTCGCTCTGGCTTTTTCTTCCCTCTCAGCTGGTGCTTTGCTTTCATTTGTTTTTGTTTTACTTAATCAATTGCATTCACATACATACAAACATACATACCTGCTTTGCTCTCTCACTTTGGACTGTTTCTCACTCTCTCGGTTTGCCGGTTTTCAAGTTCAAGTTTCTCAGAGAGTGCGCAGGTCTGCGCCATATTTGTTTGTCCGCCTGCTCTCTCGCTCTCTCTCTCTCTCTCTCTCTCTCTCACTCTCTCTTTCGCACGCTGCAGTGTGGGTTCTGTGGTGCACTTCGATTGTTTCCCCGTCGCTTGCTTTTTGCTGTCGTCATGCAAAAATCAACAAAATCGCTTTGTGTGCCCCACCAACCTCCTCTCCAGTAACGCGTCCCGCATACGGGAATGGCGGTTGAGCCCGCCGCTGGCTGAATTGAGCTCGGATCAGCCTCAGTCGCCGCTCAGCTGCACTGAACTGTCGCTAATTAAATTTCCATGCTGACGCAGTGCCCAGCACTAAAAATAAATAAAGGGATTTTTTGTTGAAAATTCCATAGATGAAATGGCAACATCAAAAGCGGGCAAACCATAAGATTATCGATTGGCCAGAAGCTTGCTATTTACAAAACAAAATCTTCGTAATATTCGCTTTTGTTGGCATGTTTGGGATAGGTGTGCCTCGCTATTTTATACGACCGATTTTGTCCCGTTCCCTTCCCACTTGTGCAAACTTGGAACCCATTTAATCACAGTTGGGCCCAATCTTTCCGGAAATTCTATCCATAAATCATTAGCTCTTATTACCAAGATCGTATTTGAAACGTGTTTGCCGGCGGCAGAACCATGAGAGGCGCTACGCTTGAGTGCCACACATGGCACAGCCACATAAAATTGGACTGGCAATATATTCAATGGAGTCAAAGAGATTCTCAAAAACAAACACATAAGTATTTTTATAACATTTCATTAATGCGTGTTCCGCATTGCTGGTGATTACTTCTACTCTAAAATCAATTAAATGGCACTATGTATATGAAAAATGGTAACTGTAAAAACAGTCGACAGACAGATCTAGAAATATGAGTACATCATCAAAAGTACTCGCAAGAGTTCGCGTAGTTTTGTTTATAATAATTTTTATTCAAGGTGCACACGGCTTGTTTAAAGCTACCAACATCAAGTGCAAATGCTATGATAAAACATTTTGTGAATTTAGACAATGCGAATTAAAGGTGGTTGGACGTGGCCTAGTGGCCATCAACATATACGTTAAGATCCATCAACTGCCAGTGAAGAAAGTGTTGGTGAGTGATCCAATAGAGGAATCGAGACGCAAACCATAAATGAACGCTCCACTTCTAGGTAAATGCAAGTCTCTATCGAAGATTCAATGGCTATCGACCGTTTCTATACAATTTTACTGTAAACTTTTGTGATTTTATGCGACATTCGAAACGATATCCCGCGTTTGGCATAGGTCACAGCCAGGTTTTGAGTTTCTCTAATCTGAATCATAGCTGCCCCTACAATGTGAGTACACAAAATCAATGAACAGCCTGTGATGAATGGAATTTGCATTGATTTCTGCTTTCAGCATGATGTTATTGTATCGAATATGATACTGAATGATGCAATGCTGGAGAAGACACCATTCCCCACCGGATCTTACATGCTGCAACTGACTGTCGGCAGTCCCGAGTGGCGTGGTACGACTCAAGTTATGGTCGATATTGTAGAGGTCTAGCGAGCTACTTGTTTCAAATAAAGTTGGTGTAATGTGTTATTTAGATTAAGTTGAGTTATGTACATATATGTACAATCTGTACACACTTTTATAAATGTTCTCTCCTCAGTTCTCTGGCGCTTCATACTGAATCACCCTAGTGAACAAAACAGAAAAAAAATAGTATTTTTACATGAAATTCTCTCGCCCCCAAGGTCTTATCGAGTGCATTGCATTGCACACGGCCATCGTTCGGGTCGTTGAGACTGGTGCAACGAACTCGGAACTAGTATGAAATATGCGGGGCCAAATGAGTTAAGTCAAATGTGTTATGAGGCCATAAAACAAGGCTTGCATTTGGCAATGGAAATTTTGTAGCAATAGTGCATAAAGTATTTACATAAATATGGCCATAGTACAACTGAATATTTTACTGACAAAAGGGATGGACAGTTTTTCTGGACCATTGGACCATTTTGATCATATTGTGGCATTGATTTTCGGAGTTAGGAATTAGATCGGTTCCACTTGTGGCGTGATCCAAGTCATTTTTTTTTCTTTTCTCTGTTAAAGCCACAATTCAATTAACTTAGGAACAAGGAGGCGATTAATTAAATAGCAAACTGAAATTCTCGTTTTGCTTTGGCAGGTGGGACTGGTGAGGTGGTAGGGTGAGGAGGGTTGCTGGAATGATTGCATTCGCCACTCAGTAATAATCATTCAACATCAATTCAATTAAAGCTCCACCGTACATGTACAGATATGCGTTGTACTTTCGTGCATGTGTGTGCGAAAGATAATAAAACTGAAAGGCAAAACAAAACGCATAGAGCAATAAGTGCGAATAAGTGTGGCAAAGCGTGTGGTGCAAGAACGTTTTTTTTGTTTCTGCCTTTTGCGCTTTTATCTGCCGGCCAGAGCGAGATAGCCATATCAGAGAGTTAGGTTTATTTGTGTGCAATGTTTGCCCGGCTTCCACATCCACATCCCCTTCCCCTCAGCCCATACCGCTGCCAACTGCTTTCGTTTCATGTTTGACGCTTTTTTGCGTTTGGCTTTGCCTCTGCTTTTGCTTCCTCTTTGTTTGACGGCGGCGGGTCGGCTGTTTCTGCTGCTGCTGCTCTCGCACCGAATCGAAATAAAACGTGTGGCCGTCTCGCTCTAGCACAGAAACGTGCCAAACTGGTTTCCACAACACACCAACACACGCACATATGCTGGTACAGCACAGCACTATGAAAGCTACGTATGACTATCTCACTCACTCGCGTTGTGCAAGAGGCTGGCTGGTCTGTATGTACAACTAGTATCTTAACCTTGAACTTGAAACACAGATACACACACACACACAGAGGCACATACAAGCACGCGATGCTACCGCCGACGCTGGCGCTGACTGCGACAGAGCGAAAGCGCTTTTATTTCTGCCATGTGTTTGTGCATGCGTTTTGTCTGTTTGCCTATGAGTCGGTCTGTATGAATGCCTCGCTCTCCCGATACCCTCGATACTTTTACTGACATTTTGGGAAGGTGCAGCTTACGCGATGCATACATAATACAACGAACACCTGGGCCGAGACTTATTAGACTTGTTATTAGACTTATTTAGACTGCCACCCAACCATCCCATCCCATCCCATACACACTAAAACAGAAGGATGACGCCACTCTCTCTCTCTCTCTCTCTCTCTCTCGGCAATTAAAGCGAGAATATGATGAAGATGAGTTTTCCTAATCCAACAACCCATTTTTCCTGCTTCCGTAATGAGTATTCTCTCGCTGTGTGGGGGTTCTGTGGAGCTGGGGGCGAATCTCTTACGTAAACGAATTTCTGAAACTCACTCATCCACATCGATGAGCGTGTGTGAGTGTGTTCCCCACTAGGAGTCCAGCTCAGACAAACTTAGACTGCAGTTCCATATTTTCTAAAATAATAATTCGTTGAGAGCCCCTGTAAGGGTATATCGAAATGTATTTATTATCGCAACCCTGCGGTCTGCTTGGTATGGGTAAGAGACTGACAGAGTCTTGATTGAGTGCATCAGATTGGAATATTTTGTGGCATGTCTGTTTGAGTGTATTGTAGTTTAATATTTCACAGAACTGTTTACCGCATTCTACTGATCGTGTGTCCGCTGTTAATCTGAGCAACAAACACACATGCACTGTCATGTATAGTCATTTACATCTGTATGTGAGCATGAATATTGCGGCTTTGATCTTCTCTCTGACACGTGAGGCAATTGGAAATCTATGGGATGAAACTGGTTGACAAAAAGTTGAAGCAGTTCCATGAATAAACACACACTTATTTGCATGAATGAATGAATATCTTATAACCTGACGAGATATATTGATAGGTAGGCACATGGATCGACTGATAGATGAATGCATTGATTGATATTTGCAACCTGGAAGTATCCGACATTCATAAATAATTCTTAAATACAATGAAATTAAAGTACATTTCGTTATGTGCACATATGTACATACAACACATACAACTAAAAATCTGTTAAAGATATTTCTCTTGAATGCCATTAGTCCCAAGTGTCGCTCCTATCATTTCAACTGAATTTTTTACTTGTCCCTCGCTCATACCCATGGGATGGGTGGTGTTATGCAATATGTGGAGCGTTTAGTAAACAACTAAAAACCGGTGAAACTTAATGGCACAACTCACAAGCACTTCATTCTGTTTTTTCGCAAAGTTCCACAGAATCATAATTCCCTTTTGCCAAATTTCGGAACTGTTATTGTTTGCTTTGTTTTGCTTTTGCAAATAATTATTTTCTGTTTCTTTATTTTTCTTAATTCGTGTTGTTTATGTTATAAATACATTTGGATATTTCTGCAAATTCCGGGGGCGAAAACAAAAAACAACAAAAGATTGGGAGAAAACTGCCTGAGCCATAGTGTGGGGGGGGGGGACTGTATGGGTGTTTTTGTGTAGAGTGGAGAGAGCTTCCGCATATGTGTGTGTGTTTGCCAACTTTGCTCTTCGCAATTGTTGACTGTATTTTCCGCAATCAAAACAAAATGTTTCGCGATGGCTGAGTCGGGGGGAACGGGAACAAACGGGCCTCTTGATGACGCCGTCGAAAAAATGTTAACTACGACGCAATTTCGTTTACTTTACTCACATTTCTCTCAGTTACCGTACTCTCCGGTTTCGTTTCTGCTTTGTTGTCTGTTATTTTTTTCTCAAACACTTTGTTTTTAGATAACTGAGGGTTGCCTTTGGGCTTTCAGGATATTGATGCGTCACAGGAAAACACGGAACGCGTAGTATTATTTAATGTATTATTACCGAGGGTCGTCGTGGGGTTTATGGACCGCCTGCGATCGGTTGAAGGTGCCGCTGCAATGTCTGTCAGGCCTCATGGAAAGTTCTCGCGCCGCGCTGTTACGGCCTTCCTCTGCTAGCGGCTCGCCGGCAGAGTTTCTATCTTTCTAGTTTGGCTTTTGAACGCCGCTCTCTCGCTCTCTCTCTCTCTCTCTGTCTCTCTTTTTAACGCTGCAAAAAGTTTCGTCAAGTTTTTTCATTTTTTCCTGTTCCTGCTTCTTTGATTTTGTTCTGCCTCTGCTGTATCCCGCTGTTCCTGTTGCTGTTTCGCTTTTGCTTGCCACCTCTTGGCTTGCCCTACTGCCCCACACACCGACGTTGCCTACACTCAAACCACATGACTTCATGGCCTTCAATTGGCTCTCTTTCTCTCTGGCTCTCTCTCTCTTTCTCTGTCTGTATCGCTGCTGCTTACCATTCTTTCATTCATTTAAGCCTTATTCTCCACGTTCTTTTTTTCCCTCATACGTTGCACATTAGTTTTCAGTTTTTTTTTCTTGACGAAAATTAGCTATTTTCTCTTCTTTGCTTTTCCCACTCTCTTCCATCCTTTCCCAAAGACAAACTTTTATCTTTTTGTCTACTCGTGATTGTGTCTGTGTGATGACTTTTGCTTTTCCCAAATTCCTGCTTTTGTTGCGACGCTTTTCTAGTCGAAACAAAACAAAATTTCACCAAAACATGTGAGATTCGTATCCCCGTTGATCGCGCAGCACCACATCCAGATACTTTTTGCAATTGGTACACTTCTTCTTATTCTTAAATCACTTTACACTAGTACTACCACACTACTACTACCAGATAATGTAATGACTTCATTCTGATTGAACAGGCTAGCACGAATTATTTACCAAGGGGTTTTTTTTGTTTGTATTTACGTTTCTTTGTCGCACGTTTCATCTGTAGACCCCCCCAAACCAGCCTACAACTCAAAGCATTGAAAATGAAAACGAAGGCGCAGAAAAGCAACTGCTTTCCCAGTTCTGTTCATATGTATGTATGTAAATATGTATTTATCTTTGCGGTCACGTGTGTGTGTGTAAATATTTATTTCAGAGTGAGCTCACACGTATTTGTCATACGTATTTGTACAAAATAACCATAATATCATAACATATGCATGTTCTAATCTGCATTTAGAAAAATAGGAAGGAAATCCCCAAATCCAGCTTACATTTACATTAAATGTATGCTTATAATAATGGGCTTTTGAAACATTAGGTATAATTTTTAGTGATAAATATCAGTAGATATTTATCTAAACCTACCTTTGATCAGTAGATGCAAAGTAGTTACCCTCCATTCCATTCCACTTTGATGATGCAATTTTTTCCATTTCCATTTCATTTTCACTGACATTTACATTTTTTGTAGGTACAATTATTTCGTATCTTTGTTGTTGTTTCTTTCTTTATATAACCAGAATTCACATGTTTTGGGCACGGCACGTAATCAACATGGTTGGAATTTTGCTTTGTGAAACTAATTTACATTTGTATTTCTTTCCGCAAAAACACACAATAAATGCACTTCTCAATGCGTTTGTTTACGAACATGACGGATATCATTTTTAATTAATTTTTGTACATGCATATTTGACAGGCACTTCTCATGTTTGATTATTGGTTAATTAATGATTTCTCAATTATTTTTGTATTGTTATTATTTGGCTGATTTTGACAAATACAATTTCCCTGTT